ATGATGAGAGAAAATCATTGACTGGCGGCCTCCTGCTTGTTCCCCGCTGGGGTCCAGCCTGCAACCCGAGCATGTACCCTGACCAGGAATTGAACTGTGACCTTCTGGCCTGAAGAGGCTCTTCTTAATATACAAATTGCCTTCCCACTGACATATCTCTCAGGGTGTCTCAGGCCAGCTCTCCCACCTTCCCTATAAGACTGCCCAATCCATCTTGCTGTTCCAAGTCCCTACCTGAAAGTTATAGACATTTTTCTTTTTCTTTGATCTATTTCTTTATTGATATCAGAGAGGAAGGGAGAAAGACAGAGAGATAGAAACATCAATGATGAGAAAGGATCATTGATTGCTGCCTCCTGCACGCCCCTACTGGGGATCGAGCCTGCAACCCAGGTATGTGCCCTTGGCCGTAATTGAACCTGGGACCGTTCAGTCCGCAGGCTAATGCGCTATCCACTGAGCCAAGCCGGCTAGGACTGGACTTCTTGTCTCTTGAGCCTGCCTTCACGCCTGGCCAATACCTTCAGTCTGTAGGTTCTTAATCTGGAGCTGCCTTCCACTCTCTCACCCCAGGTTAGATTAGAACTGGAGTCCTAAATCAGCTTTCTTGCACATTGAAGACATTTAGACAACCTCAAGTGCTTACTGGAATCTCCATGGGGGTGTATCACAGTCAATTCAAAGTCAACATGTCCAAAGTGGCATTTACTACCTTTCTTCCAGAATCTTCCCCCACCATTAGCTTGGGCAGGCTGGAAACCAAATTTCCCAGAAACCGTTCCCTATGTGGTTCCAGGTTAGAGTTGGCCAAGAAAGGAATTTGGGAGCACTACATCTGAATGCTATCATGATTCAATGAGATGACCCACAGAGGTTCCAGCTTGTTCTTGCTCCCTCCACTCTGCATTCCGCTCTTCCTCCAGACTGCAGGTCCTGTGGACCAACAGCTGCCCCAGAGCCATCAGCAGAGGCCTGCCTTGGGACCCACCAAGGCAAATGCTTCCTTTAGACTTCGCCATCAGCCTCACCTTTGTGGTCCTACATCCTTGGATGTGGTCTGGACATCCTTGGCTTCTCAGACTGACCGGTTGGGGACTTCACTGGTCCTCCAACTCCCCTCCCCAGATGTCCAATTGCCCAGCTCCTCCTACAAACGATGTAAGGTCTAATTGTAATGTTGAATTCTTTATTTCATAATTCCTAAGTTCCAGCTTTCCTAATTGAACCCCAACTGAAACAGGTACCACCATTCCCACCACCCTGTCCTCTCTCTCGGCATATATGCTAATCATAAGGCCCGTCAGGTCTCTCTCTTCATTATCCCTCTAATCATCCACTTGTCTCCTTCCCCGGTGCTATCACTGTTTCACGGTACCAAATTCCTTTGCCTGACTTACTGCACTAGCCTCCTAGCTACTCCACCCACTTCCAGTCTGCTCGCCTCTCAGTGCATTCATTCCCCTTGGAGCTGCAGACGTGATGCAACTGCCTAAGGCTTCTTACTGGCTCGCCCTTGTTCTTGAGATAAACTCCTTATGCATTTGGCAGATCTCTGCCTCCTTGGCTTCTGCTAACCTCTCATCATTGCCCCCTCACCCCATGCCAATATTGTGTAGAAACATTAAACAAATCTTCACCAGTTTGGTAGGAAATGCTTTTAATCCGAATGTCTTAGTATTCCTTTGCTTTTTAATTCCCACCGTGGATACATGTACTGCATATTCATTTCCCGCAGCTGTGTCATCCCCATGCCACTGTGAGAGTGGGAAGGAGTGAGGCCCCTTCTTCAAGCAAGTACTGAGTCTCCTGTGGGCTCCAGCTCTCTGGGTGGGGCATCTCACAGGGTGGCTTGGTGCTCATATCTCACCTCTACATGCAGCCTTCAGGCTGCATGGCGATTAGGGTAGTAGGAAAACCCCCATACAGAAGTTAACCAATGACTTAATGTCAACTTCTTTCCAGAGAAAAATAGAGAAAACACATTCCATATGAAACTCTTCCCAAGGGAGGTGGGTGGCTATATTTCTATCTGGGTTCTTAGTAACCTGTTGCCTTCCAAGGTGTATTTATTGTCAGTTAATTTTGATTATTTTATTAATTGAATACTTTATTGATGTTATTTTGTTGACTTAAAACATATTGCACTTTTATTTATATACTAGAGGCCTGGTGCACAAAATTTATGCACTTGTGGGGGGGTCCCTAATCCTGGCCTGTGCCTTTTTGCAGTCTGGGAGCTCTCAGGGGATGTCTGGCAGTCGGACATCCTTAGCTGTGGAGGTGGGAGAGGATCCCACCACCACTGCTGCATTCTCCAGCTGTGAACCCTGCTTCTGGCTGAGCAGCGCTCCCCCTGTAGGAGCACACTGACCACCAGGGGGGAGCTCCTGCATTGAGCAGTATCGAGCTAAAACCAGCTCCCCGACATCCCCCCGAGGGCTCCTGGATTGTGAGAGGGCACAGGCCAGGCTGAGAAACCCCACTGGTGCACGATCAGGGTTGGGACACAGGAGGTTGGCCAGCTGGGGAGGGACCACAGGAAGGCTCCAAGGCATGTCCAGCCCATCTTGCTCAGTCCTGATCAACCGGATCCCAGCAGCCAGCTAACCTACTGGTCAGAGCATCTGCCCCCTGGTGGTCAGTGCATGTCATAGTGACTGGTCGACCAGTCGACTGTCTGCCCCTTGGTGGTCAGTGCACATCATAGCCAGTGTTGAGTGGCCTTAGCATATCATTAGCATATTACTCTTTGATTGGTTGAATGGCTGACCAGACGACTGGACACTTAGCATATTAGGCTTTTATTGTATAGGATTTGATACCCAGTTAATGCATACTCCTTTTATAATATTTAAACAATAAAGATGTAGAGGAAAAGCAGAGGTCTCCTTTTCCTCAATGTAACCACTGCCAAAATATCGGGTGTGTATTGTTCGAGACTGGTTTCTATTTTCATATATAGATGAAAACATAGACACTGTCTATTTTCAGATTTAGGTTTAATTTGCATGCAGTCAACTGCACAAATTCTAAATGTACAGCATGATGAAGTTTTATATAAGAATACACTTGTAGCCCTGGTGGTGTGGCTCAGTTGGATGGGCGTTGTCCTGTGCACCAAAAGGTCATCCGTTTGATTCCCAGTCAGGGCACATGCCCAGGTTGTCAGTTCAGTCACCAGTTGGGGTGTGTACTGGAGGCAACCAATCGATGTTTTTCTCTCTCTCTCTCTCCTTCTCCCTTACTCTATTTAAAAATTAACAAAAATTTATATATTAAAAATACAAGAATACATCTGTAGACTCCATCACATCTTGTGTTTTGTATTTTTTTAAATTAGCTTGGCCAACATAATCATAATATTCTGTAAATGTTATCTGTCACTGGTATGGGGAGGGGATTTTTTAGGTTAGTACATATCAACCTGCCCTATTCTTTTTAACTCTATTATATTCCTTAGTAAATATAAAGATGTAACATAGATTATTTTAACCACTTACATATAACAATAGAAATTATTTTTATTATAATAATATTACAATGAGCATGAACACATGTGTACAAACCCCTTTGTACATGTGCTGGTAAAGTCTGCATCCAAATGGAGGAAGTAAGGGCTAGGGGCAGGCAGGCTGGACTACAATCCCAGCTTGCTGCTGGCTTGCTGCTGCTTTTAGGTTATGTAGCCCAGTCTGGGCCACAATTTTGTCAGCTGTGAAATACAGATAATAACAGTAACTTTGCTGGATTGGTGTGAAATGAGAAACATATGAGCACAATGTACATGACAGATACTCAATAAGTAACTGTTATTATCATTAATATTAACCTAATAACATTTAATATCCCCAGATTTCATAATCATCTTTAATCTTTCTCTTTTTTTAATATATTTTATTGATTTTTTTTTTTTACAGAGAGGAAGGGAGAGGGATAGAGAATTAGAAACATCAATGAGAGAGAAACATCGATCAGCTGCCTCCTGCACACTCCCCACTGGGTATGTGCCCGCAACCAAGGTACATGTCCTTGACCGGAATTGAACCTGGACCCTTGAGTCCACAGGCCGGCGCTCTATCCACTGAGCCAAACCGGTTAGGGCTCATAATCATCTTTGCACATGTATTTCCATTAAATTCTCTTCCCCTGATCTGCTTTCCTCTATGTACACCTGAAACTAATATAATATTGTCAACTGTGATTGAAAAAATTTTTAATTTAAAAAAGATATAACAATAGAAACATAAAAAAGAAGAAGCCAATTTGAATTGGCTACCTATTGGATGAATCCAGCTACATGACATTCTGGACAAAGCAAAACTATGGAAATAATAAAAGGACCAGTGGGTGCTAGGAGTTGGGGGCAGAAAGGAATGAATGGGTGGACCACACGTGATTTTTAGAGCAGTAAAACTATTCTAACATCTGTATGATATTGTAATGGTGGATCATGTTATTATACATCTATTGAAACCCATAAAATATACATCACAAAGAATGAACTTTCTGAGTTTAGGTAATAATATATCGATACTGGCTCATCAATCATAACAAATGTACCATACTAATGCAAGACATTAATAATATGAATAGGAATGAGGGGCCATGTGGAAAATTTGCACTTTCTGCTCCATTTTTCTATAATCCAAAAACTGCTCAGGAATTAGTTTATTAATAAGTGAATATATGTATGTGTAAGTAGAAATATCCCAAGAACATAGCTTTCTGAAAGTATTCAAAAATTTTGTTTTCCTCAGTCATGTCTAAAGCAGACAAACAGTAAAGGTTGTGGAAAGTTAGAAAACTGACTATATTGGAAAGGTTGATAATGCAAGAGAAGAATTCCTTTACTCTAAGATGGCTGTATCAGTTATTTCTTTTTATGATTTATTTATTTTTAAATTATTTATTGTTTGTTTGCTTTTTTGAGAAAGAGAAACATCAGTTTGTTGTTCCACTCATTGATGCATTCATTGGTTGATTCTTGGGTTCTTGTGTGTGCCCTGACTGGGGATCAACCCCCAAACCTTGGCATATCAGGACGACACTCTAACCAACTGAGCTACCCAGCCAGAGCACAATTATTCATTTTTTATATGAGCATGTACAGGAGTAGGCACTAGACCTAAAAACCAATGGCAGGTCTCTGCACTTGAGGAGCTCAGGGCCACAGGAGAGATAGATACATATATACAGTAAATTACTGGATAAAACCAGTGCCTTTGCTTACCATGTGCAATGACTATTTCTAGGCAATCCACCCACACTGTCTCACGTCCATACAACCCTGCAAACAGACACTATTAACCCCTTTCACAGACAAGGACACTCCATCTCTGCCAGGATACTGAGTGACCTTGCCTGGAGGAAGTGGCAGAGTTGGGAATCAGGCTCCAGAGTGTCGACCAGCGAAATGGGTGACTTTTCTATCATGCCGGGGACAGAAGCAACATCAATTCATTTTGAAAGAAGAGGACAGTGATTCCCTTGGCTTTAAGCAAGTCAGATTCTTATTGCTTGAAACTTTGGAAGTCCGAGTGCATTCATCAGTCTTTTTTCTCATTCCACGCTTCATGGCTTGCCTTTTCCCCAGGGGAACACATTCTTTTAGCTGGTCATTCTCCCAACTGAAGGTCAATCAACCTCACGTGGCTCCGTGAAAAGGTGGCCAGATGAGTACATACTGAAACTCAACCTCTGTCCGAGGCTGCCCTTGTTCAGCTGAGACCTGCCCGTGAACTTCACGTTGACTAGATGTTTCATAAGTAAGATCATAAAAGTGAAGGTAGCAGGCAGCAGCCCCGTGGAAGAGAGTTATATTTAGTAGCCCTTTAGGAACTGTCTCGGGATGTCACTGAGACTCTGGTACAGGCTGTTACTGTTTGAGGGCTTCTGGGCCTGCGGCGGAGAAAATGGAGTGGGTGGTTTGCTGACAGTTTTTTATAAATACCCCAGTATTTATTTAATGGCAGAAACACACAGAGAGAACACACAGGGCATTAGCGGAAAGAGCACAGCTTAGCTCCATTCATCCTCTGGGCCTAGGACCAAGCCCTTCTAGTCTGTCCTGGGATCGGCCTCTGCAGCCAGCTGCAGCCTGTGTCTGGGGAAGTCACCTGCCTGCCTGCTGGAGGAGGAAGGAAGGAAGGAACAAGCAACAATGAAGCCCTTATTAAAAGCCAAGGGTTTTTTTTTTTTGCTTGTTTTGTTTTTCACATTTATTTTCTAGCCATGTCACTGTTCTGCTGAAAGCCTTCTAGTAGCTCAGGTCTGTTTTTAGGATAAAGGTCAAACACCCTGATAGGGCCCAGCCAGCATGGCTCAGTGGTTGAACATGGACCTATGAACCAGAAGGTCACAGTTCAATTCCTGTCAGGGCACATGCCCAGGCTGTGTGCTTGATCCCCAGTGGAGGGCATTCAGGAGGCAGCCCATCAATGATTCTCTGTCATCATTGATGTTTCTATCTCTCTCTCCCTCTCCCTTCTTTTCCAGAATCTATCTATCTATCTATCTATCTATCTATCTATCTATCTATCTACCTATCTATCTATCATCTATCTATCTATCTATCTATCTATCTATCTATCTATCTATGTGTGTGTATATATATATTTTAAACCCTGGTAGGAAAAGACAAGGTCTGCCACTTCAGTCTCCCCTCTCTCCACTTTCCTCTTCTCTAAGCTCCTGAAACATGCCCACACTTTGCCCACTCAGCCTGTACATGTGATTCCCTCCACCTCAGATGCTCGTCCCTTCACTGTCACTAATTCTAACTCGTTCTTCATTTCTCAGCTGAAACAGCTCCTTCACAAACTGAACTTGAGCATTCTCAGAAAGGTCTTTCCCGAGGCCTCCAACGGAGCCTCCATCCTTGTCAAACACCTCCCCAATTCCTTATACGTTTCATTTATTCGAGTTTCTAATCATGCATTTGAGTGAGTATTTAAGTCATGTCTCTCCAGTTCTGTTTTGCTCGCCATTTTTACCCCAGAGCCAATGTCGATATGCCTGCCCTGTAGGAAGAATTCTATAAATATTTGTTAAATGAATAAATGAACAAGTGAAGCGAGTATTTGAGCACTTACAGACTTAGGTTTTAATAAAGCGAGTAAGAAAGAGCTGGGTTCTTTTTCCTCTTCCTCTGTTGTTAGCAGTGCCTTAGTGGGAACATACATGCCCCAGAGGCTGGCCAATGGAAGGGCTAAGAGAAGGAGAGGAAATCAGAAACTCTTAGGTTCCACTGGGAATTTTGCCACCAAGCAGTCTTACCCTCTACAGCTGTGCTGTCCAATATGGAACCCTAGCCCCATGTGTATTTACATGTAAACTGGTTAAAATTAAATAAGTTCACCGATCTCCACTGGCCACATTTCACATGCTCAATGGCCACACATGGTCAGTGGCTTCCATATGGGATAGCACCAATTTAGAACATTCCTATTATCACAGAAAGTTCTGTGGAATAGTGCTGCTCTAGAATAAAAAAATCTCTTCTGGCCCTGACTGGTTTGGCTCAGTGGATAGAGCGTTGGCCTGAGGACTGAAGGGTCCCAGGTTCGATTCCAGTCAAGGGCATGTACCTTGGTTGCGGGCACATCGCCAGTAGGGGGTATGTAGGAGGCAGCTGATCGATGTTTCTCTCTCATCGATGTTTCTAACTCTCTGTTCCTCTCCCTTCCTCTCTGTAGAAAATCAATAAAAAATATTAAAAAAAAAAATCTCTTCTGCACAGAGCCCGGGATTCTCAACAGCGGGGGGAAGAGAAAGCCCACTTTCCCATCTGCTTTCAAAGCAGGAGGTGGGGAGAGACCCTGCACCCATTATCATTACCATCTGTATTACCTGTGATGCCCGGTGCTGCAGCCAAAGGTTCTTCATCTGTCTGTGGGACTCCTAGGTGCTCCTTAGTAAGGTTCTTATGAAGATTAAGTCAGTTACAACACGTGGGCAGGCCCTTAATCAGCTCTCTGTAAGTGGTAGTCACCATCCTTAACAGCTGGGAAAGTAGTTAAGAGCAGGAGAGACTCTGGTGCAAGTTACTTCTCTGAGCCTCAAGTTCCTTATTGTCAAAATGGGAATCCTAACTATTACTAGTAAGGCATAGAGAGACTATTTTGCCAAAAGGGCTTAGCACAGTGCCTGGCATGTACTTGAAAACTGTTAGCTACTCTTATTATCGTTGAGTGTTCTAAACAAATTTGAATTTCTCATGAGTCACCTCAGAGACTGGATTCCGGCTGTGAAAACATTCCAGGTATGTACCTGAAGAGGTGCAGATGTGGCCAGTAGTACTAAGTTCCTGAAACTTGTGTTTGGTTTTGCCCAGCCTGTCACACTCACATTTCTGAGATGCCCATGGCTTCTCCCTAGGCCAGTGATGGCGAACCTCTTGAGCTCGGCGTGTCAGCATTTTGAAAAACCCTAACTTAACTCTGGTGCCGTGTCACATATAGAATTTTTTTGATATTTGCAACCATAGTAAAACAAAGACTTATATTTTTGATATTTATTTTATATATTTAAATGCCATTTAACAAAGAAAAATCAACCAAAAAAATGAGTTCAGAGGTGACACGCGTGTCATAGTTTCGCCATCACTGCCCTAGGCCAAGAAAGGCCAGACATAGGCTATGTGTCAGAGTTCTATTAAGAAGTAGTGGTCATCTTAAACTATTGAACTTGTATCTAATTTTTCTTCTTGGACTCAGTTAGATTCCTCTAATGTCTCCTGTCAATTCTGCTGGCTATGTTTTCTTCCAAACTTTACACTTTTTTCCATCAGGCAACCAAACAGGATATGTATGTTTGTATTTGGAGGGTGGAGAGTGGAAAACAAGGGAGGAAAAGATGTTTAATATGATGTCAAGTTGCCCTAGCTGATTTGGCTCAGTGGATAGAGCATCAGCCTGTGGACTCAAGGGTCCCAGGTTCGATTCCGGTCAAGGGCATGTACTTGGTTGTAGGCACATCCCCAGTAGGGGGTGTGCAGGAGGCAGCTGATCGATGTTTATCTCTCATTGATGTTTCTAACTCTCTATCCTTATCCCTTCCTCTCTGTAAAAAAATCAATAAAATATATTTTAAAAATATATATGATGCCAACTTAAAAGTAAGAAAGGGAAAGTGGGGGTGGCAAAAGGAGGATCCCTAAACCACTTGTGAGACACTTTTTTTTCTTATGGACTTTCTTTTTTCTTATGATCTTTCTTTTATTTTATATTTAATTTTTAAAAATATTTTTTATTTATATTAGAGAGGAAGGGAGAGGGAAAGATAGATAAAAACATCAATGATAAGAGAATTATTGATTGGATACCTCCTGTATGCCCCCTACTGGGATCTAGCCTGCAACTGGATTTGAACTTGAGACACTTCAGTCCACAGGCCAATGCTCTATCCACTGAACCATAATGGCCAGGGCTAATTTTTAATTCAAAGTAATGTATAAATATGGTCAAAATGTAATTGTTTTTAAAGCATAAATTTTTCGTTTTTAAAAATATATTTTTATTGATTTTAGAGAGAGGAAGAGAGATAGAAAGATTGAAACATTGATGAGAGAGAAACATTGATCTGATGTCTCCAGCATACCCCCTTACTGGGGATTGAGCTGCAATCTAGACATGTGCCTCTAAGAATCAAACTGTGACCTCCTGGTTCATAGGTTGAAGCTCAACCACTGAGCCACACCAGCCAGGCTAAGATGTAGAAATTTTGAGTGTATATTCATCAAAAAAATGTGAGCTCTTCCAAAAAAAAAAAAGAAAAAACAACAACAAAAAATGTGAGCCCTAGCCAGTTTGGCTCAGTGGATAGAGCGTCGGCCTGCGGGACTAAAGGGTCCCGGGTTTGATTCCGGTTAAGGGCTTATGCTGGGGTTGCGGTCCTGACCCCCAGTAGGGGGTGTGCAGGAGTCAGCTGATCAATGATTCTCTCTCATCATTGAATTTTCTCTCTCTCTCTCCCTCTCCCTTCCTCTGTGAAATCAATAAAAATATATTTTAAAAAAGGTGAATAACAGTAAAATAAAAAAAAATCAAAATTAAAATGTTTTATGTCTTAAAAATGTTATCTTCTAAAATATAATAAAAGACCTATCAAAAGACAGCCCTACCTGGTTTGGCTCAATGGATAGAGCATTGGCCTCCGAACTGAGGGGTCCCGGGTTCGATTCCAACCAAGGGCACATGCCTGGGTTGCGGGCTCGATCCCCAGTGGGGGGCGTGCAGGAGGCAGCCAATCAATGATTCTCTCTCATCATTGATGTTTCTCTCTCCCCCTCTCCTTTCTTCTCTAAAATCAATAAAATATATATTTTAAAAAATGCTAAAAAAAAAGACAAAACAAAACGAAAAGACAAAGTGAAGTTATAGTTAATCACTATCAAACTTTCAAAGATATTAAGATAAGCTGAATATTTTATCATTTAAAAAATTCAGTGTTTTAAAACTGTTCACAATTTTTGCATTCAATGTGCATCTATTTGCTAATGAAAAAAAATCGATGTCACACTTCCCATAGGTAATGTTTAGATCTATACACATATAAATTTAAGGGTAAACTAAATTGTGCAGTATTACAAAGTGTCCCTCAGACACTGCAATGTTAGTGAATACTGTGCTAATTTATGAAGACCCTCAGAAGCATGAATTGGAACACAAAGAGAAGGAAAGAAAATGGCTGCTTGGCACTCTGGGAAACAATACTTTGTTATGCAAGAATCTTCTGCATTCATGCTCAGAAGAAGGATTTGACAAGTTAATTAATTTGTCTTTTCTCTTACCTAAGCATTCCTGCCACTCAAATCCTTCTTGTGCTCCTAAATTGTGCCTCTCTCACATGCAAAACTCAGTATTCTGATGTATGCGGGCACTTTCTGTTTGAGAAACCAGGACAAGATATGCGAGGAAGTGTGTCTCCCTGGGGCTTGATCCTGTGAGCTAGAAAGGTGAATGTCTAGGTTTACAGGGTTGCCCTGTCTGGCGCTCACACTAAGTGACAAGTGACAGAGGTGCCCCTCCTCCCACCCCCACTCTGCCTTTGAGTGTTTTTGACATGTGTAACTCTCTCAACTACGGTTGCAGAGTAGGGGCTCCTCTTGCCTGAGGTTAAGGGGGAAGCTGCTTTCAACACTAATTAAAGAGCATGCAGTCTTTAATGGGGTACAAGACTATTCTTAAAAGGTGCTACAGTGAACTTCCGGGAAAGACTGAGCTTATAAGGTCATGCTATAAAAGCACTCCTGCTTGGAACATTTAACACTTGATAGTTTAAAAATGAAATAGAGCAAATTTGAATAAGATGGTGACTGCTGCCTCACACTACGCCAGAGCAATTGACTGAGATGCAACAGAGGCCCAATTATGAAAGATAAGAACAATGAAACTCGAAGGACACAGAGGCGAGTATCTTTACAAACATGCCTTAGGCAACAAGTTTTTAAATGGGACACAAAAGGACTACACATTGTAGAAATTATTGACGCATCAGACCAATAAAAGTAAGAGCCTCTGAGAATAAACTCAAAATGGATAAAAGACTTAAATGTAAAGCATGAAACCATAAAAAATCTTAGAGGAGAACATAGGCAGTAAAATCTTAGACATCTCACGGAGCAGAATTTTTGCCAATACATCCCCTAGGGCAAAAGAAACAAAGAAAATAAACAAATGGGACTACATCAAAATAAAAGGCTCCTGCACAGCAAAAGAAACCACCATCAGAATGAAAAGGGAACCCACTGTATGGGAGAACATATTTGCCAATGATACATTGGATTAAGGGGTTAATATCCAAATATATAAAGTACTCATACAACCCAACAAAAGGAAGACAAACAATCCAATTAAAAAATGGGCAGAAGAACTAAATAGAAATTTCTCCAAGAGGACATACAAATGGCCAAAGTCACTAATCATCAGAAAAATGCAAATTAAAACCACAGTGAGATATCAACTCACACTTTTCCATCAAAAAAATGGCTACCATAAAAAAAAAATCAACAAACAACAAGTGCTGGTGAGAATGTGGAGGAAAGGGAACACTAGTTCACTGCTGGTGGGAATGCAGACTGGTACAGCCACTATGGAAAACAGTATGGAGTTTCCTCAAAAAATTAAGAATGGAACTTCAGTTTGACCCAGCGATCTGACTTCTGGAAATATATCATAAAAACAAAACAAAACAAAAAAACACCAATCAGAAAGAATATATGCACCTTTGGGACAGCATGATGGACGTGGAAAATATTATGCTAAGTGAATAAGCCAAACTGAGAAAGACAAATATCACATAGATCTCACTTATTTGTGGAATCTAATGAACAAAATGAATTGACATAAAATACCATTTTAATGTAAAAGTTGTCGTTCTTCTTTACAGACTTTCACAATATATTAAACTCATCCTACGTAGATACAACACACTTGTTGCAAATGTTCACCTCCTATCGATTTAAGACCTTCCCTAATCGGAGGACTGAATAAGTAATGCTTTAGATCTTCTCTGAAAGAACTGCTCAAGAGTATATTCAGCAAGAAAAGAAACAAACCTAGATTGAAGGAGTATAGCGCAAGAAACCATGAACATGGGAGTTGTCAAAACATGTTGGCATAAATATGTTAAATATGCTAATTATCTATTGCAGCAATTTTCAACCTTTTTTTTGTCTCATGGCATACATAAACTAATTACTGAAAAATATATTTTTGCCAATCTGACCAGAAAAAAAAAAAGGTGTAATTTTGATTCATTCACATCGATGGCTATTGTGTTTGCTGTTAACATTTTTTTTAGTTTACAATTAAGGGAAAAGAAGTCAGTGTCCCTGACTAAGTAGTCAGGTATTGGATGTTTTCAAAATTCTTGTGGTACACCATTGAAAATTGCGGGCCTACTTCATGTTTTGGTGCCCTACCTCCCCACCAAAAAATTCATATATTGAAGTACAAGCCCCTCAGGGTGCAATTATACTTGGAGATAGGGTCTTAAAGACCCTAACTAAGATTAAATGAGGTCACTAAGGCGGGCCTTAATCCAATATGACTTGTGTCCTTATAAGAAGAGGAGATTGGGCCCTAGCTGGTTTGGCTCAGTGGATAGAGTGTCCGCCTGCGGACTGAAGGGTCCCAGGTTCAATTCTGGCCAAGGGCACGAGCCCGGGTTGCGGGCTCCATCCCCAGTAGGGGACGTGCAGGAAGCAGATTCTCTCTCATCATTGATGCTTCTCTCTCTCCCTTCCTCTCTGAAATCAATAAAGAAATATCTTTAAAAGAAGAAGAAGAGATTAGGACACAGATACACACAGAGGGAGGACTAAGGCCCTAACAGATTTGGCTCAGTGGGTAGAGCATTGGCCCGCAGACTGACGGGTCCCAGATTCAGTTCCAGTTAAAGGCATGTACCTTGGTTGTGGGCTCAATCCCCAGTGGGGGGCGTGCAGGGG